TTCCTCTATTTAGCCTCCAGAGAACAGGAGCTGATGAGGGTATATTTAGGGATCTGACTCCTTTTAAATAGCTTTGAATTAATGCCTATCCTTTCACAACCACTTCCAGAGAGGTTCCTGATGTCACAAATTCCCGAGACTTTTGGAAAATTTGTAAAGATCAGTTTGGTTTTTGCCTTTTCGTATTGCTGACCTAAGATTCAGCTCTCTCAAGTTAGTTGAGTCAGTTGTCACTAATATTTGCTTCTAGCTTCCAAAATTTTGTTGCAATTTCCTCTCCCATTCTCCCTGTTTTTGAGAGTTTATGCCTTTTTAAAAATTATGGAACATAAGCACATACAAAAGTAGATGGAATGGTAAGATGGATCCTATGTCCCATCAACCACCTTCGGTAATTATCAACTCCTGGCCAACTGTTTACCCCCCAACCTTTCATATTATTTTTATGTAAACCTAAGATTTTAGTCATTTCATTCAAAAATATCTGAATTATCTTTCAGTGCTATCTAAAAGATACGGCATCAGTGGAAAAAAAAAGAACAATACCATTATCAGCCCTAAGGAATGCAATAATATCTCCTTAATATTCAGTATTCAGAATTCCAGTTATTTAATAAAGATAATAAAAGGTTTCCCATGGGTTGTTTGTTTCAATCAGGATGAAAATAAGTATGAAGATGTAAAATGTGTATCAATGTTTCTCAAACTTTAATATGCAGACTAATTCCTGATAATCTGTTAAAATGTAGATTCCGATTCAGTAAGTCTAAGGCCTAAGATTCTGTATTTCTAGGAAGCTCCCAGGAGATGCTGCTGTTGTTGATCCGTACATCACATCTTGAGTATTAAAGATGTATATAAGCTATACCTTAATAATTCTACTTTTTATAACTACTTTAGTGAAAGATGCATCCATATGCACAAAGGAATGTGTATGTATCTTCACTAAAACTCATTTAATTGTCTAAAATTGTAAACAACCTAAATACTCATACTTAAAGTGGATACTAAATAAAGTATGGAATATCCATACTATGGAATACTAAGCAGAACTTTAAAAATGACACAGATCTCTAGGAACACAGACAGAAAGGCCTCTAGGACACACTGTTGGGTCGACAACTTCCAAACAGATACATATTGACAACAATACGTAAAACCTACCAAACTGATAACACTGGCATTTTCTGAAGCTGGAACTTGAATTGGGGGTGAAGGTTAAGGTTCTTTAATATTACCCGTAATGCTTTAGTATTTCATGGAAGAATATGTTAAGTATTACTTATATAATTCAAAATACATTTAAGAACAAAATAATGTTCTTACCTAGGTGATTTTGTAGCTCTCGTGTCTGCCCATCTTCAGTTGGAGTAATGAGATCCCATATGAAACCTTTAATTTTCTCATCTCCTCGGTAGTGAACAAGGCAATATGCTAAGAGGGCTCGGCAAATTATTTCTACATCGTGCTCATTTAGCTGCCTTTTAAAACGGCCATGAGATAGAATCTCTCTCCATCGGCCCCACCTGGTTAAAAAAAGTATTATTTACATTAAGTGTAGAGAAAAGAATATAACTCATGGATAAAAGACATGAAAAACTAGAAAAAAAATTTTGTTATTAATAGAATTTGCTAATGAAGTTATTCTCCCCATGTGTAAAATGCAGAGGCATGGTAGAGTAATTTCTAGTATA